TAATTGGTAATTTTTATTCAGTTTTACCAATCTACACCAATAAAATCATTTTTAAAAGTCACATGATTCCATTTTGCCAATCTACATCAATGAAATCAGTTCTAAAAGTCACATAAGTGTATAGCATGAAAATATGACACACTGAAATTCACTGAAAGCGCACTTACATATTTGAATGACTTCCCTCAAAGAGATATTTATACAACACCCTTAGTCCACTCTAAACAAACAAGACTGAGGTTTCAAGACCCTCTAGTCCATTCAAAATAAACAAATCTTAGGTTTCAAAAACCCCTTTAGTTCACTACAAATGAACAAGTCTGGGATTTCAAGATCCCTTAGTCCACATAAAATGAACTAGACTGAGATTTCAAGACCCCCTTAGTTCATTCCTAATAAGCAAGACTGAGGCTTTAAGACCTTTTGTCCACTCTAAATGAATAAGACCGAGGATTCATAGTCTAAGCTTAAAATACCTGTATTCAATAGTTCAAAATATACTAAATCAGTGAACTCATTTTAATAAGAAATTTAAAGTAATATACACTTGTGAGCAAAAGCACAGATATTTTATAATACAATTTACAATAACTTATATAGCCCATTCCATAGCAAAGTTTACAAAGATAGAGATCTATAAGTGCGCACAAACAATATTAAAAACAAAAATACAGTTAAATTAATCTAAGTATGCTCTGTTTTAATAGAATAACCTAACTGGTTCTTATCATAATCTCAAAAACAAAGTGGTTCTAATTTTCTAGCCTAAAGTGTATGAACTTATTATAAACAAACATACAAATGTTTTAATGCTAAAAAAAACTCACAACAAATAAAAGAATTAAAATTAGTTTATCATTATTTTGATAATCATGCAATATAGTAATTAAAACCAAGTCACAATTTAAGTGTTTAATTGTAGTAACCTAAGTGGCTTCACAGACATGACCACCTGAGTTAGGTAACACAATTGCAATACAAATACTAGTATGTAAATCCACCAATTAAAATATTAGGTGTAATATTACAGGCACATGAAGTATTCAGTTAGGGAGAGCTTTTATTCATGCAAATTTACACCCATTAAAATAAACTTATATACATATTAGGGCAATATTAATATGGTTCTGATTTTTTTTTTAACTTTTAATTTTATTTTTTAAATTGTTTGTACACGATACACATAACAAATAAGTTCTATAAAAACAAAGTAAACTTTACACTACAGCTGCAGAGGGAAATGATGAAAATCTCTATTACCTGTTTTGGAAAATGACAGTTATTATGTCAATAACAACAATATTATATTGATTATGTATATTTTGATTATAATTATGCACTATAAACATTTTTTTTTTTTATAATTACACTGCCATACATTAGGCTCAATAATCAAACAATATCTTAAAGCGGGAGTGTCGTCACCTGCTTACGCGCGGGAATTGAGTCCCAAGCGAAGATAACAACGCACGTTACAAAACGCAAAGGCTCATGGGTAGACGCTTGTTTGTAAACAATGACACGCTATGGCCATCTGACGTATGCGCAGATGACGACTCCCCCACTTTAACAACATGCTTTAAACAATTAAACTTGAATCATATTCTTTCATTTTTTACAGCATATCTATCATACATTATGTTAATTTTGATTAAAAATATGTTTAACGAAATCATATAAACACACAAATATATAGATACATTTGAGTTACATTAAAACATTTACAGTTTCTCAGTCAACAAGGTTAGATTTTAAATCCCAACAAACTGCGTTTTTTAGCACAGTAGCAGAATTTCACTCACTATATGCCATTCCACTAATGCCTAGGTACCAGGCTTGTATTATCTCATTATCTATTCAGATTTATGCAATCTGGAAATAAACCCTTTTGATAACCAAAAAGGTCAACTTTGCCACCTTTCACGAAAAAAAATAATGTTGTTATTATTACAGTGCTTAATAGAATAAAAGCTATGTGCAGGAAATTCCACATTTGACCAATCAACAAACCTAACATTTATGCCATTGTTAATCAACCAATCAAAATTAAGGTCAATACAGATCAAAAGATTTTATTAGCATTGTAGCTAGGAATAAGTTGCATGTAATATAGTGAGTGGAATGCTGCATAGATTACCTTGCAGTTTAAAATAAACTTCTGACCTTTGACCCTTTGGATGCCAAAGTTCTTTTCAACCAAATAAACAAGCATAATTTGTTACCATATTTTTATTGCCAAAAGTTTTGATCAAGATGTGCTGAGTAATAAGGTCTATTTGGCCCCAAATTAATTACTTTTTAAAAGAAATCATTAAGAAAAACATAACCATCATATGTTTTTTGATACAATAGAAAAAGGTATACAGAGTGAACGAGCCTGTGCAGTAAAAAAAAGATTTCCCTTATTTCTGACTTAAAACCATTTTAAGACATTTAGACATTTGCACAAGTCCTGAATTTGGTCAAAATGTACAATGAAAACCTCATTTTTTTGTTGAACTAAAATAACATAACTGTTAAATTATTGAAACATGCTTTTGTAAACGAAATATAATGAAAGTCAAATTTAACTTAAACCTGAATATTTTAACAAGAGTAATGATGCCCTGGAACCTGAATAATCTTTACAAAATTCTGGTTATGAATAATAAAATCAACTGTTAAAGACTAGAGTATGAAAATTGATGGCTGAAAGATTTTTTTTGAAGCAGAATTGATATACCGTACTCGACCGTGTTAGCGCCCATGTTCAGCCTCAGGACATTTTCATTTTCTAATTCACGTTCGGCTAAGCACCCATCCCTTTCAAAATATCCCTGATTTGACGTTTAATCATAACACCTTGATCTTTGTTTAATTTTTCTGAATACTGGTAATCGTTTTTATATCATACAGTGTCCATATTGACCGCCGTGAATGTGTAGACCACGGTAACCATGCGTAAACTACGCTTCAACAATGACCTGTTAATGAATGTGAAGTGTGGTAAATACTACATGTCACGTTCAGTTTACCTAACAAAAATCGGACTTTGCGTCAAGAGACTGGTTAGTAACAGGTCCCACAAACACATTAGAATAGGTGCATACATTGTAGTTGTTCCGTATGTTTGTTTCACATATTTCGGTCTTGGTCCAAACGCAAGTAGTCTTTGCGAATCATAATTAATTTTAAGTAGCGTATTTACAACAGAGATAGGCACTAGTCACTTCATGCCCTTGTATGTATTATTACCCCAATAAATGTGGTTAGTTTGATCGTGAAAAGTATTCTATTGTCTGTTTCATGTATTCACACCACACTACTACTGCGTTCTACAACTACGAGATACTATGATTATAGTTTCTGGCTTGGTTTCAAGAACCCACACAAGTTGGAATATCTGCATTATTTGGCATTAATTGGTTCACACTAGTCTCATCGCAATTTTCTGGCCAGTTTATGCAAACTAATGCAGTGACCTCTTGACAGCTAGTTACCAGTTTTTAATAAAAAAACATGCCATTTTTAACCGAAAACAATTCCAACAGATCAAACTGTGACAACGATAATTCACTTCCGCATTGCGTTACCAGAATTTGCTCGGGTAAACGCCCTGAGTTGAGGGCACTGGGCGCTAAAGTGGTCCAGTATGGCAATATTGGTATAGTAACAATGAAATATAATACACCAATCAGCCTTTGGTACAGCACTCCACTCAGTAGAATAGATATACATTGTAATCACGCACGGAAATATCTGTATTATACAACCATTCATTTACATCATTAATGATTAACCTATAACATACTTGATGCCTAGATACAATGCTTGAAACATCTAATTATTCATCTTATGCAAATGTCACACAGTATTGGATGTCAAAAGCTATTTGCTCAGTTTGAAAGCGGCATACGAGAGATTCCTCGTAGTCATAGAATCTGAATATAGTGGACAGTGCCAACATTGACGCCATTTTTGATCCCCAGATCAAATTTACAAGTAGCTTACAGTAAATTATAAAAACTAGCAGCATAACTAGGCTTCAGAGAAGTTAGTAAGGTAATTAGTGAATATAATTTCAATACGCAGTGCTCCACAACAAAATACCTAGTAGTTCTTTCGATTGCCAATTATAATTGAATGTGATGAATACTGACGCCTTATTTGTGAAAAGAAACCTGATACCCACGAAAAATAACAGTGATATATATAGTTCAAGAAATTATAAAATGATATTCTAGTTGTACTAGAGTATTTTCAATAAATATGAACAAGTGAAATAATGATAGCAAGTACTGGTATGTCAATATGAATTCTGCGACAGTTTTTAAGACTAAAATGACAACTTTAAAATATGACTAAAATAACAGTTTTCTGATTTGCTGAATATCTGACCATTAAAAAAATTAACGAGTTTTGGTTTAAGAACATTGATCTTGGATGTTTTTGTGTTTTTTCCACTTTGATAAGCCCCACCTCCGCCATGAGTTGATATTTTCTTTAAATCCAACTTGCAAAGTTGGCTTCGTGTTTGAAACGAGTTTGGTGCAGTATTAAAAATGTCAGAAATGTTCCACACTACTTTGTCATCTGGGATATGAAAATATATTTGAATATAACTGACAAATATTGCGGATTTGCAACATTACATGTACCATCGTTTGTGTTCCCATAAAAAAAAAAATCCTTTTCATAATAATTTATTTACTCTCCTGTAACTTGCAATAACTTAGTATTTGAAACCAAAATTGTCATCTAACTGTAAGACCCTCGCTGATTTGATCCTGAATTGAATGACGATGTTTTTCATATAATTAGGTGTTTGTATGCAAGGATAAACAACAAACAAAAACATCAAATTGAGCTGAATTTTGTTAGCGGTTGGCTTAATATTACCCCATCAGATTGTTTGTCTGTGAAAGATTGGTATTTTTTCCTGATTTGAAGGAATCTGAAAATCGTGTTACATAACTTGTCTCTTTATTTAGTTCATGCCATAATCAAGATGGCGGCCCCCATATAGTAAATATCGCATTTATTTTATTATTACTTGTGCGCCAGCTGACTGTGCACACAACGACCAATGATTCGGAAGGCTCTTCCCTGTATCCAAGTAAGCACTGAGGTGTTCGTATACATGTATGTGAAACTAATAAAGAATAAAAATATTTTATGGTTTTATAATGTTACCGATAGTGTCGTAATCTATATAAAATTAATGAATTTTCGTTTCAAAAATAACGCTGGAAAAAGTTTTCATCTCAGTGTTTTAATCATTCAACAAGATCAAAGACCTCGGCGTGCAAAGCAGACAGTTTTGGTACTTTCGGATTTTGAATCTTCAACTCCATCAGTCGTCGTGTGTGTTCTGGGCCAATCTCGCGTAACTTTGGGATGATGGTAAGTACTTGCGTAAACAAGTCAGGTCTGTCTGGATGCGTTCTCTTGAGCTCTAACTGAAGCACTTTGAGAAGTCGGGTTTGAAGTACAAGTACATCTTCTCTCTTTTTTAGACCTGGACGATCTGACAAAAAAATAACCGAAAGTCAGGTTTATTATATATTTGAGAAATCAAATCTAAGTTAAACAGCTAGATTCATTCAGGAATTTATACATTACGAGTATGCAACAGACATGTACATGTATGCATGGTTACTTTTAGTATCCGTGATGTATGTGATGAAGAACTCAATATGAAATCACACGAATTGCGAGATGTTTGCAACATTGCAAGCATACATTTCAACTAATGTAAACGAATATGTGAAAGAATTGGTTTGCATTTGTCTCAGATTATGTTGATAACACACATCTTGATTTATTTGCGAGTGCGTATTACATGCATTTTTCATTCTTGAATTTGGGGATAATCTCATTCAGATCTGATTACGCAATTGAATTCTTCCATGGTTTTGTGTTACAATGTTGCAATTTAAAAAAAAAGTATTTTCATTCATGATCTAAAGACAGTTTAAATAACAATAAATTCAGTTTGGAAAATTAAAATCACTGCCAACTCATCTTAGAATCATAAATCATCCGAACAACACCTTCCAATGCAGGGAGCCTTTTTGGCAATATTTGCCTCCAGCTAGGGTGCCAGCTTTACGATTTTAGTGAATTTAAACCCTTTTGACTTCTTCGCTCACTCTTTATCAAGCCATGAGGGCTGCATGACACTAATGGCACATTCTCTTTCATGTTTTATTGTTACAAGATATGGTAAAACCATTTTTTTTTGGACAGATTTTGACAGATTCACGAGTTGGATTTCTCAACATGAGGAGGGGGGGGTTGTAATCACGATGCAGTTAATAATAAGATGTTAAGGGTAAATTAAAAGGTGGTTGTTGTTGCGCAGCGTATAGTCAAACTTCATTTACCGTAAACAAACAATGCATTCCACAAGCATTACGAGTCTCATATCGAACAGAATGTAGTGCGACAACCAATGCCCTTTATTATAAAACGAGTACTAATTAAAAATAGTTTTGACAGATGTCATAATGACAAAATGTATTCTACTCATTCGCACAAGAAAACTTACCGGCAGCAACCATGATGACCGCATTCAAACATCCAACTTCGTCATCGGTCAATTCAAGTTCATTGAACCACCCAGCTAATTCAAAAAGGAGATCTATCACTTTACCCAGGTGGCCCTGTCGGGCTAGCTCCCGTGAGAATCGGTCGCCTGTTGTCCAATAATTTACCATGTTGGAATTAGTGTCAATGACGGTCGTAAACCGGACAGCTGAAACTTCAAACAGTCCAGCCTTAATCAAGATAATTTGGTCTTCCTTGTCGAGCATTCGGAATCCGGGTATCTGTTTTGTGAACACTACGATTCGAGTTATTAGACCCGTGAATTTATCAGCAAAAAAGCGAATCATATGAGTGGCTGTTATCTTGTCTTCACTCATTGTCAGTTCTCGTGGCGGCAATTCTGATGTTGGGAAATCAGGCGGTGGAGGACAGTTGCTGCAATCATGAAGTTTTCTTCCCTACAAACAATTGCAAAAAGTTACGGTTAAATCGTCATGTAACTATCATGTGCGATTACACAACTACCTTATATGGATATGTGTATACCTTATATGGTCAGATATGCTTTGGACCATATATTGAAAACATCAGATGCTACTTATTAAGTTCTATTCAGACTGAAATGAAGTTGTAATCTCATGTCTACATGTACAGTTTGTACAGCTCTCAGAAGAAATTGAAAATGGGCAACATTTGATGTCTAGTCTAGTCTAGTCTAGTCTAGTCTAGTCTAGTCTAGTCTAGTCTAGTCTAGTCTAGTCTAGTCTAGTCTAGTCTAGTCTAGTCTAGTCTAGTCTAGTCTAGTCTAGTCTAGTCTAGTCTAGTCTAGTCTAGTCTAGTCTA